ATATAGAAAACAAATAATAAGATAAATTATGATGTAAATAATACTGTTACCTTACGAGCCCAAGCTTGATAACCTGAAGTAAGCTCGGCAGGTGAAAGTACTTTAGCTCCAGTACTCCCAGTAAATTGACCTGGCATTTGTTTACTTTCAGCCCATGTTTTCATCTATTATATAATATATAATATATTTATAATTTATATAATTTATATTAATAAACTATGAATATATGTTAATATTATTATTCTTCTAATCAAATATAAAATACCTCATTTTGTGCTCGATACATTTCATTTTGGGCACATATATCATTTGGATTTTCTCTTAATTTTCTCATTGCTGCTAATCTTTGAGATACTATTGAACCAATATCTATTGCCTGTAAATGTAATAAATATATAAATGTAAATACAAAATAATTGAATAATGCTTTTTTTCTATACCTCTGTTGCTATTGGTTGAGAAAAAACTATTGATTGCACTGGAACTGTAGAAGTAGTTGAAGGTATTATAGGAAAAGATTCAATTGATTCAGAAGTTGATATAAACTGTTTTTTTGTTTCTGATTTCTTTGGAGTAACTGGTATCCATTCATTTTCTGTGGACAAATAAAATTTTTAATAATAACACACAAATCACACTAATTAAGTAAATACTTCATCTATAATAAAAAATAATAAAACAACAAAAACGGTACCACTTTTTCTATGATGCTGACCACTTGATACAGGAAATTGTAAACGTAATTGATTTGATGATTCTACTGTTTTTTCTTGGAATGTCTTAGTAGGTAATTGTTTTGCATCCTGTTTTTTATAAATAAACTATTAATGTATATATCATGTATAATTATATATAATTATATATAATATATTATTATATATATTAACTTCTTTAGCAGCTATATAGCAGGATTTTTCTTAACTGCTATATTATAGAAATGTAAAAAATTATATATAATTTTATATATAAAAAATTCTTATATATAATTTTATTCAATTTATATGTCAAAGTAATATAATATAATATAATGCACTTTCAGAAATAATCAGAATATTCAAGATTAACCTACCTTAATATTCATAATAATAGAATTAGGTCGTCCTTTAAGTAAAAAGGGATGATGAAAACCTTTCTCAGATTCACTTCCATCTTCCTCTGAAGAAATACTTGAAAGTTCTCCTAAAGCTTCGGATTTTGATAATGATTTACAAAAATCTGAAATAAAAAAACATATTGGTTATTAATAAATAATTAATATTTTATAGCTAGTAATTGAATTAAATTTGTACCTGTGAGTTCATCTACTGTTTTTCCTCCAGCTTGTATTGCAGCAATAGCTTTATCTTGTTGTACTAATGGTAATGTTCCTTGTTTAATCATGTTTATTGCATTTCTTCTTGCTATTTCCAATAATTTCTTTTTATCAATTTCTATTCGTTCCCTTATAAAATATAAAATTTATTATAAATTATAAATTATAATATATATATATGTATATACTATTATAAAATAGTACTAACTTTCGTTCTCTACTCCTACTTCGTCCACGTATATACTTATCCTTGCTTCTATCATCACTGCGGCTTCTATATCTTCGTCGTTCCTTACATTTCGAAGATTCTCGTCGATCGCTACTTCGACTTTTATTATATCTGTCTTTACTTTTATCTCTTCGTTTATCTTTTTCTCTGCTTCTACTTCTACGTAAATTCATACATGTATGAGATTCAGATCTTTTTCTTTCTTGTGAATGACAATTATGATTATATTTGCTATTTTTGCTTGTTACAACTTTATTATTATAATTATATGTTTTTTCTTTATATTCATTATCCATATATAATTTTGATTTTTCTATTCCTTCTCTTTTATCCACATCTTCTAATCTTTTTTTTTCTTTTTCTCTCAAAATTAATCTTAAATCATTTTTTGCTGTTAGTTCACCTTTTAAAGGACTTAATATTCTATTTTCTATATTCTCCAAAGTTGGACTTAAAGTCAATGATCTAAGAGAGATACATCGAATTGGACTAGGACTCAATGTCGGAGTTTTATTATCTGTACTACTGTCAGATAATTCACCATCTTCCATTCTTGCTGCTTTTTCTTTTTCTTTAATTTCTATTTCTCTAACTGTATCATTATAAACTATACTATTTTTAAGATCTTTTATTAATATTTTTCCTTGATATCCTTGCTTTGGTTTTTCTATATGTAAAAAAAATATATTTAAGCCAAAAATATATTTCAAATTTTTTTAAGAAACAATACAAACCAAGAACTTTAGATATTAATTGTTCTTCAGATTCATCCTGTATTTTTTTAGAAATGGGTGGTAATTGGGGACTATCAGGTTCCTTTTCAAATATATTTTCTAATTCTGAATTTTTTTTAATCATTAATTTTTCAAAATTTTCTGATTCATTCATGTTTTGTTGTTCTGATCCATTATTTTTATTATAATTTTTCTTTTTCATGTTGCTACATGTACTCAGTTTTGAAATTTTATTTTTGGGTTCATCTGAATCTGATGACTTACTTGAATCATCTTCATGTTTCCGTTTTGTCTTCTTTTTATGCTTTTTTTTCTTTTTAATATCTATCAATTATAAAAACAAATAACTTTTAATTATAAGTAATATATATACTTACCTATTTTTTCTAATTATTAATAAACATTTTAATATACTTTCAAGATCACTGTTACTCTCAGATGAATTTCGTTTTGACTTTTTTTTATGTTTTTTATCCTTATGTTTATGTTTTTTTTTAGCTTTTTTTTTTTTAATTTGAGACTTAAGAGATTTTTCAACTTTAACGCTTGCATTTGGAACTTGTTGGTCAGTATTTTCTAAGGATATTATTTCCTCTTCAGCATCAAATGTGCTAAATAATTCTGTTAATATTTCATTTGAAGATTTTTCTGGTAATCCAGGTTCCGGTTTAATTTTTATTCTATCAACACCAACCGTTGTAATTAAATTTGCAATATCAAATAGGTCTCCCATTGCTAATAATTCATCATAATAAATCACAAAGAACACAAATAGTAAAAATTATATAAAAATTAAATAAATAGTATAATCATCTATTATATTCTATCGTGTCGTACTATTGTATTGAACCAGTTGCCATTTTAATTTTCGATAACAGCGACATCTAACTTAAATTATTTTAAAAACATTCAATTAATTACGCATATTCTTAATAAAAAAGTATGTTATATTAAAATTTAAATTATTGTTTTATTATATTTTTTAAATTTTTTGTTAATATTAAAATTTTATATAATATATTATATATTAATATTTTGATTTGAAGAATTAAAAATTTTATGATGTGCTTATTTATATATTTATATGTATATTAGATAGAAATATCAAGCATATAATA